TATATAATATAATATAATAAATAATATATATATTTTATTATTTTAATGTATATATTTCTTTAAAATAAAATTTTAAAAATAATATTATAAGAGAAATAAAAATATAATTTTTTTACTTTCACTTTAATATTTGATAATTTAAATTTGTAATTTTAAAAAATAAGTAGATAAAGCAAAAAGAATAATTTAACCGTTAAAAGAGTTTTCATTTAGAATAAAAAATTAATTGCACTAATTGATTCTTTATATACGAATAATAAATAACTAAACAGATAAATAATATATTTCAAGATAAGTAAGATAAGTAATATATTTCAAAATAAAATCATTTAAAAATAATTTTATTTAAAATAAAAATCAAATTAATATATAATTAATTGTTCTATATTTATTTCAGTATTAATGAAAAAGCAATAAAAATTTTTTTAAATACATTTATTTTTGAAAAGAAATAAAATGTGATATGCATGAAAATTATTAATTGTAAATTATTATAGTATTCCATCCTACTAAACAAATGATAATCTCACAATAAAAATCACAATTATAAAACATATATATAAAATTACAATTATATTAAAATAAAATTATATTAAAATAAAACAATTAAACTAAAATAGATTTATACTGTAATGCAAGTTGTTAAGTTTCAACAATCAATGAACAAAGACAAAAACATAAAAAATTTCAAGAATTAATTTTATTATCACAATTTTGGATTAATGGATAAATAAATAAACAATTAATAATCTATAAATTTATTAAGAGAATATGAATAAAACTATTTGAAGCATAATCACGTAATTTAAATCGATAACACGTCCTTTTACAATGATAGACCAATGATACCTCACGCTAAAATTCACTTTGATCGTTTCTAATTGACTAGGGCATTTCTTATTTATTTAAACCGTATGAAAATTAAATTATTATACAATGCCTATTAATTATGGATTTTTGTTATATTAAAATTAATTTGATATAAAAATTAATCAGATTATAAAAAAATTGAATCATAATGAAAAAATTTTAGATAAAAATTAACTAAATCTGAGATTAATTATAACATAGAAAATAAAAATAAATTAAAAAAATTAAAATATAAAAAATAAATTAAAGTATAATTCTTTTGATATTGCTTTTCAAAGAATAACTTGTCGAATATAATTTTTTTTATTATATTATATTTATATTATATTATAATATTTATATTATATTATATTATTAATTATTACATTATATTTTTTATTATATATTAATATTTCTAATATAGTA